TTTCCCTACGTTTAGTTTCCTTAGTTGCTAAAGGTTTTTCCTTAGATGAGTTTGTTTGTGTTATGAATATGTCATTCCTCATGACCCAGTGAGGTTCAATGGTCTTCAATGGATAAAGTCAGAGAGGCCAAATTGGACCTAAACACAGCAGTAATCATCAGTTTCAGTTTTTTAGGTGAAAAGCTGAGGAAGTAATGTAAGAAAGTAAATATGTAAGAGATTTTTTGGGCTACTTGGCTGTAGATACAAAGCTCTGACCAGTTTTACATGTAAGAGCTAATGAGTAGCTTTCATCTGAACCTTCCCTGGAGAGGGACCTTCTGCATTTCTGCCTCTTCCTCTACACTGGCCTTCTGGAAAGCACCGTGTTGTTCTTAGAGCAACTGAACTGTGGCTCCTGTTAAGGACACAAAGAAACAAGGGAGAGGAAAGTAAATAATGTCAAATTTTAAAGACATGATGAGCACGGCCATTGATTTCTTGTTTCAAAATTTTGAAGATACCACTGTATAAATTTTTATAACACTGTGCAGACTATTCCTAGATTCTGAAATGAATATTCTCAGTATTCATTAGCATGGCCTGGAGATGGTGAGTAAGATAATTAAAGTACCGTTAGGAATGTCCTCCGCAGGGTAACTCACTAACAAATAGCAGTGCTAAAAAATGATCATTTAAATATATTTAAATAGTCATTAGATCTCATCTTCATTATACTATTTATAAGATTAATATGACTGATTAGATGTCATGATATTAGAATCATATTTGTCTTGAGTATATCGAGATCTCTGAGATGTTAGCAGTGACTATAGTATGAAGAAGCCTCTATTACTTCATATCAAGGGAAAACACAGTGTGTAAGGAATATGCAAAATGAAAATGAAACCAAGCAATCCAAATTGGGGTTGAAGAAGAGAATAGCAGAAGAAAGTCTGGGGAACTTCCAGAGTCTACTGTGAAATTTGAAGGAATCACCTGAGACAGTGTGGAGATGGCCTGTCGTTTTTCAGAGGTACTAGTCAGAAAAGTAGACATTTTGGTTCATTATGATCCCTGGCTTTGTCTCCACCACAGATACAGGATCTCTAAAGCTTCTCAGCGCTGGGAGGAGCCAATCTACCCATCCCATAGCAGACCAGGCTACCTTAGGAGCCTGCACCTTTAAGACTGACACTGAGGGCAAAAATGCTGTTATGAAACTTTGCTTCCTTGAAGCAAGAAAAAACGTTGCATTGACAGGTAAAATGCATATTTATATTGTAAAGTATTGGAAAAAGGGGCAACAAAAGAAGTGCAATCTATTTCTATTTAGATCCGTAATTGCCACTATTCTATTTAGATTAGCTAACAAGTCTGTACGGGGTCATGGCAGGCCACAGCTATGGGAAAAGAAGTTGAGGTTAAGAAACTAGGAGCCGGACTAGATCCCACTACCGGTCACTCAGTGCTATATATGTCAAGATCAGCGTAAGAAAAGTTCTGCCAATCTATTTGATATGGGCAACAATTGGAATTGGTACTTCAACCATGGCATGTACAGGTTTTAGAAGGGTAAAGGGCACAGCAATAAAAACCCACTGCAAATAGATGCACCAAACCGCCCATGCTCATACGAGAGAAGAGTAGAGTTTGAGGCTGACTGTTCAGGAACATGGGATAAAAATGGACTGGGAGAAAGTATGAAGAGCTTGCAGATTGGGGGCAAAAGCAAAATTTGAAGCTCATCCTAGGACAAGAGTTGCCTGCTCTCTGTCTTGATTTTTCCCCTGGTTGTGTTTTGAGTGCTTTTATCAGTGGTGCACGCTTTTCAGAGTAAGTCAGAATCCTGGTTCCATCTGCTGAGATAGCACACTAACATTGGTGCTGCCATGTGACTTACTGTAGGAGCTGATATATACATGAAATAACCACTTGTTTAATTTTCCCTCTTCGCAATGGCTATATTAGCCTGGTATTGATCTACCCAACCCCTTACCACCACCACCCTAAAAAAATCAAATTTTGAGAGATTCTGTGGTACATACCTTGAATGGTTCGAATCCCAGCCCAGTCAGCCTGAAACATGTCGGACATAGGCACAAGTGCTGGGATCCCTTGGGCTGGAAAACTGGAGGAAGGGGTAGCGGTATGGCCGAGTCTGTAGAGGGTCCTCATCTTTGTTTCTCTCTTACTCTCACATGTGCATGCATTCTTCTGTAAGTAAAGGGAAAAAAAAAGTCTACTTTTGAGAAAAATATCTACTTTTTTGAAATTTTCATCAAAAATAAGAATTGTATGTTAGAAGTATTTTTCTAACATGAGAATCTAGATTGACATATAGATATATTATGTTTGAAGAAAGAAATGTATCTGAACTACGGTTTCAAAATATTTTCTTTCTTCTATTCTATTTGCATATGAGACTCCTGCATAGCTTGTGGGTAAAACGTTCATCATTAAGGATCAATAAAGGTACACCATAGTTTTAGAAAATTTGTGAGGTATTTAGCATAGACTTTGGAACAGATTCTAAAACGTCTGTTTTCTAGAATTCATTATGTGAACTATTTCCCTGAAATTACTCTCATTTCCTCAACATGACTTCTTTTTAATGTTATCAGTACTCCCAAACTGTTTCCACTGAAGCAGCTACATGCCATTATTTCTACCTTAAACGGATATGACTGTTAATTGCCAGGATATTTGTGAAGCAAGTTGAAAGTTATCTACGGATTTATCAAATAATAGGAACTTTGCTACAGAAGAATAATTTCAGCAAAGAGCTTCTGCAAAGCATATAAAAATAGAAAATTAAAATGTTAGTTCTAGGCCTACTCACCCAAAAAGGCTTCTGTAAGGGCTTATAATAAATTCTTTTAAAATACATTTAAAAACAAGTTCATGAGGAGAATTTTAAGCTTGCTGCTGGATAGAGAAGTCATTAGCTGTACTGTTATCATTGCATCCATGCACCTGTGCAAGGGGCCTTTCCTTCTTCCGGGTATGTGTCCCACGAATTATTAGAGAAGAAAGGTTTTAATCAGAATATTAGCATAATGTTGAAATTAATAATTTATAAGTTTATTTGAAGAAACACACCAACAAAGCCTAACTTTAAAAGCCCACATAACAGCAGGATAATGCATGAAGGAGAGGGAACTAAAATTAATGGAATGGAGCCAGCAGGTGGTGTGGTGGTTAAGGAACTGGACTCCCACATGGCTGACCATGGTTTGAGTCTTGGACCTGGCAGCTTGCCTTCTCACTTTCCCTCTGTCTCTCTCTGCGAAGTACATGTGCTCTATAGCAAGTTAAAAAGAATAATAGTACATCAAATTAAATGAATAATTCTTCGAAAAAATAAAATGGAATAAAATGAACTGGGACAGCTTATATCTTCCATCTCATTTAATAACCAACACAAACAGTGAGGTTATTATACTATTATCTCCATTTTATACTTGAGGGACTCGGCATGCTGCTGCGAATTGATCTCAGGGCTACTCACCTCTCTAATATCATATGCTTTTCACAGGCAAGCCAACCACTGGAGATGTTTCTGGTATTCATTGTTACAGTTTCCTCATTAGGTTTTCCGTTGCTCGGTAGGAGGCGCTAACTTGGTGTCCTGTGGGGGATCAGGCTATGTCAGATTCTGGGATACGGTTAAGAAACAACTTCTGGCTGAATTTGTGGCTCATGGTGGAACTGGACCCATTATAATGTGTACTGATAAACTGAATCGATACCTCATGACAGGAGATCTTGATGGATGGCTGAAAATCTGGAATATAGAGGTAACTAGACAAAAATTCTTACATCGTTTTTAGTCCCTTTCTTTTTTTTACAGAGAATAATGAATCAGGTCTTGTCTGTTTCTTAGATAAAGGAAAAATTGTTCACTTGGAGTATTTGAAGTAAAACATTTACATGAATTGAACAGAGAATTCTTTTCAATAATTGATAGTGATAACTGCATTTTTCTCAATATTGGAAAACCCTTAAAATATAGTCAGGTCAATCACCCAATTCAGAAATGCAGCATTGTCAGTAGGTAATGCACTGTTGTTTGAACGTAAATAATCAGGATACACTTTATTTGAAATGAGATTGCACGCAACATCTAAATAGAACACTGATCCTTCATCTAACTTGTTGCCATCTTGAGTTAGTTTGGGATTTGCGGACCACTCATTACCTGCTCAACTTTTTAATAATACAAACTTGTATTATATATGCCTGCTGTTACATGATACCAGCAGATCTTACTCTTCATCTTTTTCTACCTACCTCCTACCCTTCTTTCTTTCTTTCTACTTCCCAAGTCAGTCAGTTAAGCCAGTTAGAAACTTCTTGTTAAAACCTCAATACCATTTTTCTTTCTTTCTTTTTTTTTTTTTTAAAGGTTAGTTCCTTTCTTTTATTAACTCATAAACAATTACTTGTCTTCTGGTTTGTTGAAACAGTAAGTCAGACAACATTTGCCACAATAATGTCTGTCAAAATGGCTGGCCATAAAATCCCCAGCACCACATTCATCTGAAGGGCACTCCCAACGAAGGCGGCTAATTTTGCCATTTTCATCCACCTTATAGTATTTCAGGACAGCCAGTTTGACCTTCTTTCTCTTATGCTTATTCTTCTTGGGAGTGGTGTAAGACTTCTTCTTTCTTTTCTTAGCACCACCATGGAGTCTCAACACAAGATGAAGCATGGACTCCTTTTGGATGTTGTAGTCAGACAAAGTACGCCCATCTTCCAACTGTTTGCCAGCAAAAATCAGTCTTTGCTGATCAGGAGGAATTCCTTCCTTATCCTGGATTTTGGCTTTTACATTTTCTATTGTATCCGACGGTTCAACCTCGAGGGTGATGGTCTTCCCTGTGAGGGTTTTTACGAAAATCTGCATCTTGGTGGCGATCCCACCACAGATGGCGGATCGGAAAGGACAATACCATTTTTCTGACCTCTGCTGTCATGAACTTTCTTGTATGTAGGATTATAGATTACTATTCCCAAAGGGATCTTTTAAACATTACCATTTGGGGGATTAGGAAAATGTGAATTCCTGTAATCACTTAACATTTGGAATTTTTAGAGTTTCGTATCTCTTTTTATTCAGGAGTACTGTCTTAATTCCAGTAAAAGCAAAATCACACAGGCTCCCGTGCTGGTCCGGTCCTTCCAACCTCACGAGGACCGGATAAGTTCCTTAGAGACGTGCGAGCTGAGTGGCCGTTTGCTGATTATCTCCTCTTCTGCAGACTGCAGCATTTGTGTGACAGGTGTTGGCGATTCTCCTGTGTGGACCTTTGGGCAGGTAGAAATATTGCTTCATTACTATTCTAGTATTTACTTGACATTTAGTATGAACCCGGGCTGATTTCCATTTGAATCTCGTTGGCTGTTTAACATTCATCAGTCATGAAAGAACTGACGTCAATTTCTCAGCTGTAGCTCCAGGCCTCTCTTGTCCTGTTTGCCACTAACCATGACAGTTTCATCAAGTGGGAGACACCAGCAACGTGGGGAGGCAGTGGTTCTGCACAACCCAAAATAGTCTAGGATTTCTGAGAAAAATGTCTCCTCAGAAATAAGTGAATTCTCCCAAATTCAAAATTGTGTAAAAATACAACGTGGATAAAATTAAAATGCTATTATTGGGGCCAGCAGGTGGCATGGTGGTGAAGGTGCTGGACTCCCACATGGCCAACAGTGGTTTGAGTCCCAGACCTGGCAACTTGCTTTCTCACTTCCTCTCTTTCTCTCTCTCTCTGGTCAAATTTAATAATAAATAAATAAAATATTATTGAACAAATGTATAACTATTACAGTCAAGTAACTATCAAAGCAATAATCAAATATAGAAAATTTTAGGAAAAAAGAACAGTTGTTCCTATTCATCATCTGGTTTACTTTTACTAAATAATAAGAGGTCATATTTCTTGATTTTTTTTCTAGGTACTTGGGACCCTGTTCTAAAATTTTTAGATGAGTTATTTTATTTAAACTTCACAATTAATTGCCCAACCTATGAGAGAGGAACTCACATTATTTCCATTTTACAGATGATGAAAAAGAGGCACAGAGTTTGTCAGCACACTATCTGAGCTCACACAGGCTGATGACAGTGGCGTTTGGCTTTTAACAAGTGGCCTCATGTTAGATTCCATGTTTTTGACACTTTCTTACCAGGAAACTGAGCTCTGACTTATTTATGCCTATGAAATAGAATGCAGATGGAGGTATGAAAAAAAGAAACATTAGCTCACATTTTTCCCTTCTTTTTTCTTTTTGTTTTCATGGAAACTCTGCTCCTATTCCAGAGGTGCCTTTAAGGACCGAAGTTTGTGTTGGGTTTCTGTTCAGGTCATTGGAACGTGGGGGTGTGAGTTGAAGCTGGCCTCAATTTCTGTTGGATCAGCTTCTTTCCGGTAGCCTCAGGTGCCACGCTCACGTGCGAGGGTGTGGAGAACCTCTGTGTTGGTTTGCTGTGGCTGTATTTGTGAAACAGCATTGACGATATCAACTGTGTCAAAAGAGTTCTGTGTAAACCTTCAGGACATAGAGGTTGATGGTAAATCGGAAATAATCTGGGGAGGCTGGCCCATGTTTGGCTAAGCAATGTGGGAGTCTCAAAGGAACATACAAAACTGTGTCTGTCTCTTCTGCTCTGTCAATAAGGCACCTGCCAGACTTTTCTCAGTCTGGAAGACCAGGGACTGTGTGGAAACTCAAATGGGTGTGTGGGTAGGTGTGGGTGAGACAGAAGGGGCACAGCCTGCAGTCTGAACAGAGAGGAGTTGGAAGCCTGCTTCTGACAACCGAAGAAGTGTTCGATGAAATGCTGGTACTGCTCCATGACTGCATGGGCTCTGGTGAGCCGAGGTGGTGACTTGAATGACAGGGAAGAAAACAGGATCCTCAAGTGGATGACATCTGGAGTGTGAGTCTCATGGACAGGGTTGAAGGAAAAAAAAAAAAAAAAAAGACCGTTCAACTATAAGTGCTATATAAACTGTCCACCAAACCCCATCTGCAGTTCGATTTTTATTAAGAAGTGTCTGCTAGCTCAACTGTTCAGTTTTATGTATTTTATATTTTTTATGAGCTGTTTTTAAAGTCTCTTGTTGGTATGAAGGACTTCCATGCCCCACAGCCTGCATGAGAATAGCTTTATTTTTATTTATTTATTTATTTTTCTGTTCAGGATAGAAAAAAGGGCCAGGTCAGTTTTAGAAACTAATGGTTGTCAAAGTTGCAGACAGCTGAATTTTCTAGTCACTTCTGCTTGAGTTTTCTTTGTTTTATTAGGATTTAATTTTATCAAGTAAATATAGATCTCCTGAATATGGGTACTGCTAACTTCAAGGGGCATAGGAAAAGGGAGGTGAGAGAAAGGAAGAGAAAGGAAGGAGAAAATGTGATTAAATTATACTGGAAATTAAATTAAATTAAATTATACTGAGTGCCCTGCTCATGGTGTGTAAGAAGAGGTTCCTTTTTTTGGGGGAAAGGTTTTTGCTATAGAGCACGTGCGCTCACCAGAAACACAGAGAGAGACAGAGAGACAGAAAGCGAGGAATCACCCCCTAGGGGGATGGCCATGCTGCAATTCCTTCTCTTCCATTCTCCTCTCAGGATCTTGGGCACGCAAACACACACACGCCCAGCCTGAGTTTAAGCCACCAGGTCGAGGACTCGAACCGTGGTCAATTACATGGGAGTCCAGCAACATAGCCATTATGCTAACTGCTGGTCCCAAAAAGAGGTTCCTTTTTAGTAGATGTAACAGAGAGTTGTGGAAGGTGGGTGGAAACACACTGGGAGGAAGGGACTCCATATGCTTAGGTTCAGAACAACTTAGGCTGGACAAATTAGATTTGTCCAATGGAGTGATTTTTGTTTTTTTGTCCTACATTTGACTGTTGCAAGTCTTTTAGTTGAATTACTATTGGTCTTGTAGTCATAAAACAATAGTAGGAGAAGCAGGAA